GGAATGCCTTTGCTGCTGTTTATAGGACAGATTAGAAGTGAGAATGACTGGAATTGAGAAGCAAGATAAAAGGATCTTGCATTAATCTAGAATGAGGTATATGGTTCCAAACTGGGATCATAACTGTATCTGGGAACGAAAACTAGGAGACAATCCAAAATCTCTTGTTAAGGAAAAGCAGCAGGACCTGGACATAGAAGGGAAGAGTAAAAGAGAAGAAGAGTGAGCAATAATTGTAAGACCGCAGTCCTAGGAGTCAGCTGTTTTCACATGGAGAAGCTAAAGTTTTCTTCTTGGTTGTGTGAAATAATAAGTTTATGATTGAAATGTTTAGGGGTTGAAGGATTATATCATATCAAAAGGGGATATGATAGTCTTTAGTTTTCAGAAAATGGCTAAAAATAAAGTGAGTTCTGGACTAGAGATTTACCCAAATGTATTAATTAAAGCCAATAAGAGATTCTCATAGATCTCAACATTCTTTATAATAAACTTCTCCAATGTGACTGCTGACATACAAAGCTTTAGTTGTTTAATAATTTAGAATTTATGGAAAAGTGAAAGGCTTTCCCATTTAGTGAGAATTTTAGAGGGAATCAAAGAGAATGGTGAAGTCTGTTGTCTGGCACTAATAAAATCTAAAGGCAGTGATGATTGCAAAGCCAGGGGTGGGGTTCTTCGTTTCATCACGGATTCCACAAAGTAGTGGTTGATGCTGGACAGATCAGAAAGGATCTTTAGGTGCAGTCACCAACTGGCAACAGCATGTGAGAGACCTGACTAGAGTGCTGCGGGGCAGGGGAGGGGGGGTGACTGTGTGCTTTCTGGCATCCATACCAAGATCCTAACATAGACTGAACATTTGCTCTCTGTCCCCTGACTATGTAAACACAATGTTAGGAGTATAGAATTCAGAGCAGAAAGTATAATTCAAAATCCAAATCTAGTTTATCACTTTAATCATATATGTATTATTAATTTCTTCTGTCCATATTAAATCCCAAACCTTATGAGTAAAAGTTGTTTTAAATCATTCCTGCAAAGTTCAGTCTGAATAATAAATGTAAAAAGTAATTTTTAGGTGCTGGTTACATAATTGAGTTTTCACATTGCACATGAAAGTGCAATAATTTCATTATTCTAACAATGTTTTCATCCAAATGGATCTCAGTAATTTTATAAAGAATTATGAATTTATTTTACAGGTGTAGAAAAGAAGGTATAGGAATACTAACTAGCTGAAGACTCCTGTGCTTTGTAAAGAAACTGTTACTTTTATGATAGCTGTAATTATTTATTCATTGAGAGACCGCAGTGTTTAGAAATTTTCTAACATGGGGGGGGCTTTCCCCTCCCTTTATTTGGTTGGAAAGGTCACGAGGGTGGTTTCTTACTGTTGTCCTTCCTTTTTAGGTGTGAAGTTTTTCAACATGAGTGGCCTCGGGGACAGTTCATCTGACCCTGCTAACCCAGATTCACATAAGAGAAAAGGATCGCCATGTGACACACTGGCATCAAGGTAGGAACACTCTTCTTTTCTTAGTCTGTTTCTGGCAGAGCTGCCTCATTTTATATTCGCTGCCACTTTAGAGCTGTTGTTTCGTCTACTCCACGTTTAATGCCCTGCTTTGAGTCCCTTGTGCTACGTGTACCATGTTCTCTCCCTCTCCCAGGGTCTCTGCACCGGCTTGTTCTCAGTCCAGCTGGTTTCCTCTTGATTTCCCATAGCCAACACCTATGCATCCTTCAGATGCCAGTTCGTCATTGCTTCCTTAAAGGGAGCCTTCTCTTCCCTTCCATAACCCTTAGGTCAGATCTCCTCACTTGAGGTTTCTGTCACACACTGTGTTTTATGACTTCGATCCATACTTGCAAGATTTTACTAGTTTCTGTGATTGTTTCTTGTATTCCTGACTTTTTTATAGACCCTGAGTTGCCATTTGGTTAAGGGATTTTGTTCTAGTTCACCATTGTATCCTTGGTTCCTAGCCCAAGATGTGGCTTACATGTACAATAGTAAGGACATAGTAAAGATTTCTCAATTGAATATATAAATCTGTGCTTTACTACTATCTTAGAACACTTTAGGATTAGTGGAACTAAAAAATGTATTATTGTAATATCAGGATGTAAAAAAATAATCATTTGTGAGTTAAGACGTTTGGTATGACAAGGAATATAACCACCTCCAATAGGCAGAAAGAGGTCTGTTATGAAAGAGATCTTAACAACTGCCAGAAAAGCAGCTTCCCACCTAAGAGAAGAGTTAGGGGGTATTCCATATTCATCTCCTAGGATGCAAAGCAAGGTTTCATAACCTCCATGCTAGTGACTTATTAAGCCAGATAATTCTTTGTTGTGGGGGACTGTTCTGTTTATTGTAGAATATTAAGCTGTATCCCTGCTTCTTCACACTAAATGCCAGTAGCATCTTAATCCAATAACCACAAATGTCTCCAAACATAGCCAGTGTCCCATGGTGGGGAGGGGAGCATAATTGCCCCATTTGGTAATCACTGATCAAAAGAGGAAAACTGCAGAAGGCTGTTCTGTCATTAGATTACATACTTCTTTCTCATGGAGGGAAAAAGAAATTTTTTTTTTTAAGAGAGATTTTTGCTATAGGATATGTGTGCTTTCCGGACAGAGAGAGACAGAGAGATAGGAACTAAGAAATCAAGCCCTGGGGCAGGTGGCCACGCTGCAATCCCTTGTCCTCCATTCTCCTTTTAGGATTTTGGGTGCACACGCGCACACAGCCAGCATGAGTTTTAAGCTGCTGGGTCTGGGATTCAAACTACTTTTGACTACATGGGAGTCCTTCGACATAACCATTACACCATCTGCTGGTCCCCAAAGAAAAGATTTTAATGAGGCTCGTGGCTAGAAAAAGAAAAATGACCCTTTTTCTTAATCAACTGTCACAGGGAGACAATAACCTAAGTATTTATAACCACAAGTCAGTATCTAGATGCCAGAGGATTATTGATATCAAATTGCCATTCAGATGTGTGTTGTCAGTTAATGGTTTAGTTTATATCCATGTATAAAGTTGGTCCTTCTTAAAGGAAAACTTAAGAATAATAAATAAATAAAACTATTGCCTTTTATGTTTAACTTTTTAAAAATTTATTTATTTAATTTTATTCATTCATTCATTTATTTTTTTTAAATTTGACCAGAGAGAGACAGAGATAGAGAAAGAGAAAGGGAAAGTGAGAAAGCAAGTCACCAGGTCTGAGGACTTGAACCCTAGTTGGCCATGTGGGAGTGTCCAACACCTTAACCACCATGCCACCGTCGGCCGTGTGGGAGTCCAGCGCCCACACCACCTGCCGGCCAAAATCGTGCATGCTGAGAAAGAGACAGAGAGAGAGAGAGAGAGAGATGGACTTGATGCCGCAATCCTCCAGCCTCCATAGATTTTTGCCATAGGGCGGGCACCACTACGCCCTATGTTTAACTTTTTAATTAGAGAATTTTAAAAATATATGAAAGGAGGGAGCCAGGAGATGGTGTGGTAGTTAAAGTGCTGAACTCCCACATGACCAATGACAGTTCAAGTCCCAGACCTGGTGGCTTGCTTTCTCATTTTCCCTCTCACTCTTTCTCTGTCTGATGAATGAAAATAAATAAATAAGTAAATAAATAAATAAATAAATAATTTTTTTTTTAAAGTGTCTCTTAACAATAACAAAAATTAAAAATTAAAGGATAGAGACTAAGAAACTGTGTATATCCACCATATATAATAATAATAGTTTTTCTTAATGTTAGTTTTTTGGTTAATATTTATCCTATTTGTATAATCTTGTTTTAGTAAAAGTAATAAAATATCAACAATTAAATTGATTTGTCTGCAATTCTGTTTTTAAATACTACTTTTCTATAGTATATTTTTTTCAACATGGACTTTGAGATTTGACTACATTCCTATTAACCTTTGATTTGTATTGCATTACATGAATATACCACATTTCAAAAATTCATTTTCTTACAGATAGACATTCTCTAGAGATAAATCAGTTTGTTATAAATTTTTGTTACTACAGCTATCACTGTAACAAACAGCCTTATACATACCTCCTACCTTGTACACAAGTTTCCTTAGGGTCTTTGTACACTTTCACGTTAACTATGTAATTACCACATTGCTCTTCAAATGGCAAACATTGAGAGCCCCTCTCTTCCACAATCTTATTATAGTATTTGCTTCTCACTTGGACATTTTGCCAGTCTGATAATTTATAAGTACATTTCCCTGATAATTAGATAAGTCGATCACCTCTTTTTGTTCTTAGTACTCATCATGTATTCATCCTCTGTGGATTTTTTTTTTTTTTGGTTTGTATTATCTGTCCATGTTTCTGTAGGTTAATTGTCTTTTTCTTTTTTATTTGTAAGAATTATTTAAAATTTTGTAATTGCTAATCTTTTTTTTGGGGGGGTGGCTCATATTTTGATGCAAATGTCTCCCAGCTTGTTAACACTAGTTTTGATGTCTGTCAACATAGAGAACCTTAAGTTTCCATATGACAAGATTTTGGGATCTTGCTTAAGAACTTTTTTTCTGGAACCAGAAGATAGTGTAATGATTATGTCACTGGACTCTCACAGGGTTGGCTGTGCTTCGAGTCCTGGACCCAGAGGCTTCAAACTCACGCCGGGCACATGTGCGTGCATCCTCAAAATCTGGAGAGGAGAATGGAGGAGAAGGGATTGGAACATGGTCATCCCCCCTACTGGATGATTACTTGATTTTGGTCTCTCTGTCTCTCCAGCAAGCGCACATACCCTGTAGCAAAAATCTCTCTAAAAAAAAAAGAGAGAATTTTTTTTTCTACTCAGAGGCTTTATTTATATTTTTACATATTTTATTCTAATGCATATTTAGGGTTTTAATTCATCTAGAATTTATTAATTTTTTAGAGGTTTTTGCCTTAGGGTATGTGCACTTGCCTGAGAGAGAGACAGAGACAGTGAGAGAGAAAGTAAGAAATCACCCCCTTTGGTGAATGGCCATGCCACAGTCTTCTCCATTCTCCTTCTAGGATCTTGGGTACACGCACACACACATGCACACACACACGCACACACAAATGACCGGCATTGCAGTCTGGGTCTCAGACTGTTATTTGGGAGACCAGAGACATGACTGCTACACCGTCTGCTGGCCTGGTGCAATTTATTTTTGTGTATGATACAATTATAGAGATCTAATTTTTTTTTTCCATTAGTGGTTATGACAATATTCTTCCCTGCTTTCATGCTACAAGTTTCTGTATATACAGGGATTCTGTTTCTGAGCTCTCTGCTGATAACCAGTCACCTTGAGATCTGATAGGACAAGTTCCTTCTTGTTAATTTTCAAAATTATTTTCTCTGTTCTTGGTTCTTTAATACTCTGTATAAACTGTAGAATTCGGTATTTAAGTTCACTTGGAAAAAAATTCTGTTGAGATTTTGATTAGACGTTTATTTCTGGGGAACCAGCAGTTAGCGTAATGGCTATGTCGCTGGACTCCCATGTAGTCGACCATGGTTCGCGTCCCGGACCCGGTGGCTTAAAATTCATGCTGGGCGCATGTGCGTGCGTGCCCAAGATCCTGAGAGGAGAATGGAGGAGAAGGGATTGCGGCGTGACCATCCCCCCTGGGGGGTGATTTCTTGCTTTCTGTCTCTCTGTCTCTCTCTGTCTGACTGGCGAGCGCACACGCCCTATAGCGAAAACCTCTCCAAAAACAAACAAACAAAAAACAAACAAAAGAAAACAAACAAACAAACAAAAGAAGTTTATTTCTGTAGAATAAATTTAGAAAACTGACATTTTTATGATCTAGATTCTAGAGTATTCTTAACTATAAGACCTTTTGTTTAATTCAGATCTTTGCTATTTTTTCAATCATAGTTTATTTTTTTCCTCATAAACATCTGGCTCATCTTTGGTTAGATATATTCCAGAGTACCACAGAGTTTTTATGATTATTTATTTATTTTAGGTTTTTGCCATAGGGTGTGTGTACTTCCTGGTGAGAGAGAGTCAGAGAGAGGGAAAAGTGAGAAATCACCCCCTGGGGGGATGGCCACACCCCAATTCCTTCTCCACTCTCCTCTCAGGATTTTGGGAATGCATGCACATGTGTCCAGTGTGATTTTCAAGCCACAGTATCCAGGACTCGAACTGTGGTTGACTGTGTGGGAATCCAGCATCTTAGCCACCACACACACCACCTGCTGGCCCCACCCATTTATTTATTATTATGTATCGTTTAGTCATACTTAATTATTTATAGGTTCTTTAACTTGAGATTTTTCATTCTTATTTTGTACTTCTGAAAAAGCTGGGTTTTTCTTCAGGAAACCACCTTTTCCCTGTCACTGGGGTTACATATATCTTGTCCTCCAGATCCAAGTGTCATTTCTCTGTGCCTCTGTAGTGTTACAGTCTTGTCATAGTAGTGTAATGGTCTGTTTTTTGTCTTTGTTTTTTTGCTAATTGGGGGCTACATCTAATTTACTCCTGGATCCTCGGGACACAATACATGGTTAATGGTACATACTAAGTATAGGAGTATTTGCTAAGTTAGCTAGTAAGTTGAAGAAAAGAGGATAATGGGACCAACAGTTAGCGTAATGGCTATGTCGCTGGATTCCCATGTAGTTGACCGTGGTTCGAGCCCCGGACCCGGTGGCTTAAACTCAAGCCGGGCGCGTGTGCGTGCGTGCCCAAGATCCCGAAAGGAGAATGGAGGAGAAGGGATTGTGGCGTGGCCATTCTCTCTGGGGGGTGATTTCTCGCTTTCTATCTCTCTGTCTGTCACACGAGTGCACGCATTCTATAGCAAAAACCTCTCCAAAAAAAAAAAACAGAAAAGAGGATAATCAGATGAGCAGTTAACTCAGTAACATTGACTAGCATGTCCACATATCCTTGATAATAATGGAATCAGTAAAGAGAGAGTAGTTGGCCCAAAGTAATAAAGAAAGCCTTCTTTCCCATTAAGATAGAATTTTTTTTGTCATTTCCTTCTCTCCTTCAATTTTGGGTTTGTACAAACATATCTGCTCTCATTTTTCCTCCTTGCTTACTGGTGACTTCTTTTTTTTTTTTTTTTTGAGAGGTTTTTGCTATAGGGCGTGTGCACTCACCAGAAAGACAGAGACAGAGAGACAGAAAGCGAGAAATCACCCCCCAGGGGGGATGGCCACACCACAGTCCCTTCTCCTCCATTCTCCTCTTGGGATCTTGGGCAGGTGCACACACCCCCCCTGCGTGAGTTTAAGCCGCTGGGTCCAGGACTCGAGCTGTGGTTGACTACATGGGAGTCCAGCAACATAGCCATTATGCCAACTGCTGGTCCCTGGTGACTTAATTTTATGGTGATTTGTCCTAGTCTCAAACTCAAGTCATTCTGTAGACACCTCATCATTTTATTACTTTTAGCTTCTTTACTTCCTCTGTCTCCTCTCTGTCTGCTTGTCTTGACCATTCTATCACTTCTTTTTTTTTTTTTTTTTTTGGAGAGGTTTTTGCTATAGGGTGCGTGCGCTCGCCAGACAGAGAGAGAGACAGAGAGACAGAAAGCAGGAAATCACCCCCCAGGGGGGATGGCCACGCCACAATCCCTTCTCCTCCATTCTCCTCTTGGGATTTTGGGCATGCACGCACACACGCCTGGCGTGAGTTTAAGCCACCAGGTCCGGGACTCGAACCGCGGTCGACTACGTGGGAGTCCAGCGACATAGCCATTATGCTAACTGCTGGTCCCCCCATTCTATCACTTCTTTTCCCCTTGTTAGTTTCAAGCCATTCATGTTTACATAGTACTTAATGCCAAAAACGCATTTAACAGTCCTGTCAAGTGATTCCAACTTATATATGTTTAAATTTAGACCCACATATTTAGACAGATTATACTGTAGACTAATCTGCTGAGTAAGACATGTAATGATAAATCTCTCTAAGGTAAAATCAAATGTCCTTAGCACCATTGGTTGCAGAGCTGAGATTTTCCAAAACTTGTATATGTCTATCATAATGTGTGCTACTCAGCCCAGCTATTGTGGTGCAGGCAATGCTGCAGGAGGCTGAGACCATATAGAGGCCCCAGGTTCAATTCCTGGCCCATCCTGGATAGACCATGCACCTATAATCTTAGCTAAGTGGGAGCTGGGACAGAGGACCCCAGTGGTGAGGCCCTGTCAGAAAATACATCAGGGGGACAAGCAGTTAGCGTAATGGCTATGTTGCCGGACTCCCATGTAGTCGACCACGGTTCGCGTCCTGGACCCGGTGGCTTAAAACTCACACCGGGTGCATGTGCGTGTTTGCCTAAGATCCCGAGAGGAGAATGGAGGAGAAGGGATTGTGACATGGCCATCCCCCCTCGGGGGTAATTTCTCACTTTCTGTCTTTCTGTCTCTCTCTGTCTGTCTGGCGAGCGCACGTGCCCTATAGCAAAAACCTCTCAGGGCCTACACGTGGCATGATAGTTAAGGGCCCTGGATTTTCACATAGCCGACCACCGTTCGAGTCCTGGACCTGGCAGCTTGCTTTCTCACTTTCTCCCTCTCTCTCTTACTCTGTTCCTCTCTGGTCAAATTAAAGCAAACAAACAAATAATTCTTTAAAGAAAAAAAGGTTAAAAAAGAAAAGAAAAGACCTAGATCTCTCCCTCTTGCTCTCTTTTCCTGCTCATGCCTTTCTCCCCATTTAACTCCTTACCATTAGGAAAATTTGTTATTCATTTCATTCATGTCTTATCTTCAGTGCCTTTGTGTGAAATTTGTCAAAGTACCTTTGTTCGTGTTCTTGTAGTAGTTGTGATACAGTTTTACTTTATAAAATGGGAATAGTTCTTCAATAATGGATGACTTAAAAGATAAAGATAGCATAAGTGATAGTTATAGTTTATAAAATTTGAATATGTATTGGGATATATATATATATATATATATTTGTGCCATTTTGTGGTATTTTATGTAAGTAAATACATTTGATTAATTGACTTGATTCTTTTCAGCTTGCTACAATGTTTTATAAGTGTTATTGCTGTTTTAGTCTTTATTAAGAAAGTAAATGGTATTTTAATTGTTGCCAATTTTGAGCTTCTTAGCAACTGATCTTTCTTCTCACCTCTTTTTTTCTACCACTTTTATATGCAGCCAAGTGATTTTTGATTGCTGCTTATAAAACAGTTGTTTGTGATGAGTCTTCCCTATTATGTTAGTTTGTTAATAGGGAAGTTTCAGAGTATACTTCACTGTCTTCCCATTACATAAAGCAAGCTGAGTGATGAAAATGAAACTAGGAGTAAAGGACCGGAAAACACAAATGAAACACCATTCGTTCAACACACTCAGTATGCTTTAAAAACAAAAAGTGATAGCTTGTATGCTCTTTTATTCTTTGTTTCTATATTCTCATTTAGCTTTAAGATAAATTTTGATCTTATTTATTGCATTGTGAGAACTTATAATTAGATGACCTTTTTATTTTTTAAAAAAATCTGTCTACAAAAGGCATTGTTCTGTGTACTTTTCTCTAATTGTTCTTCTTTTTATTTTACTTTACAACAGATACATTTTTCTTTCTGATGAAGACAACTAATGGTCTAATCATATGATCAAAGAGTTTATCAGATTTCTAACTATAACTTATTGGAACTTTTATAAAGTCTGCCTTGCTTAATTTAATAACAAAGTTATGTTTAAGTTAAGATTTTCTGTTTCAAAGAGTTATTTAGAAAGTAAAACAGTTATGAATGCAGCTAGTATATTTACTGTATGTTTCCCTTTAATATCTAGTAATCACTAGTTATTTTTAAATATTCAAGTTATATACATTATTGGTGAAATACACCTGTTATAGCAGTCATTTACTTTATCTGTTTGACCTGGAATTATTTTCTGCACTTTTGGATATTGTAGTGTTCGTTTTTTTAAATGTGAGTTTAAATTGTTTTCTGCATCTGTTTTGGGTTTTTGTGTTTGTTTGTTTGTTTTTGAGAGAGATTTTTGCTGTGGGGCGCATGCACTTACTGGAGAGACAGAGACAGAAAGAGAGAAATCACCCTTCTGGGGAGATGGCCACCCCACTCTCTCTTCTCCAGTCTTCTCTCAGGATCATGGGCATGCACACACATGTGCTTGGATGCTGGTCCCCATGTCTGGTATTCTATATAAAAATAAGGATTTCTCTAAATGTATAAACTTGACCAGAGGGACCAGCACATGGAGTAATGGTTACGTTGCTAGACTCCCACGTAGTAAACTGTGGTTCAGTTGCATGCCCGAGATCTGAAGAGGAGAATGGAGGAGGAGAGACTATGGCGTGGCCATCCCCCTGGGGGGGGATTTCTCACTTTCTGTCTCTCTCCATCTTAATTGGAAGCACACGCACCCTATGTAGGGATATACGTGTTTACTCACTGAATTTTCTTTGTGTAACAGCACTGAAAAGAGGCGCAGGGAACAAGAAAATAAGTACTTGGAAGAGCTGGCTGAGTTACTGTCTGCCAACATTAGCGACATTGACAGCTTGAGTGTAAAACCAGACAAATGCAAGATTTTGAAGAAAACGGTCGATCAGATACAGCTAATGAAGAGAATGGAACAAGGTAAAACCAAACAAGCAAACAAACCCAGCCATGCTGTGTGCTCTGTTATTAAGAAATTTGTAATATTCTATTTTACTTTTTTGTTATTAAGAAACTATAGAGAACCTCATAATTTTATTAAAGAAATGTTTTTGTTCAGATGTTATTATCTGAGCTCCTTGTTATTTAACAAAGTGGCTCATGCTGTTAACTTGAAAACTGGTTGTCTTGGGAAGTTGTGGGACCTAGTATCAGAGGGGATTATCCTCAAATGAAGAAATTAGTTCCTCCTTTGTCCCTGCTCTTCACACAGCTACAAGCCAGCATTTTAGAACTTCATTCTTTTTTCTTTTTTTTTTTTTGAGAGATTTTCACTGTTGGGCGCGTGCGCTCGCCAGACAGACAGAGAGAGACATAGAGACAGAAAGTGAGAAATCACCCCCCAGGGGGGATGGTCACGCCGCAATCCCTTCTCCTCCATTCTCCTCTCGGGATCTTGGGCACGCACGCACACGCGCCCGGTGTGAGTTTTAAGCCACCGGGTCCAGGACACGAACCGCGGCCGACTACGTGGGAGTCCAGCGACATAGCCATTACGCTAACTGCTGGTTCCTAGAACTTCATTCTTTAATATGAAAAAGCCAAGTATTTGAGGAAAGCCTGCATACATAGGAGAACAAACCAGGCAAACAGAAAAAAGGGAATAGAAGAAAATGTAAAACAACCAGACAGTCCCTCAGAGGCAAGGGAAGATATTTCATCCTTAAAACAAGAGTAAGATGATATAAAATGAAACATTCAAAACAAGAAATAACTTTCAGGGTTAGCAGGTGGTGTGGTAGTTAGGGTGCTGGGCTCCTCACTGCAGTTTGACACAGACTGGCAACTTACTTTCTCCCTTTCTCTCTCCCTCTCTCATCAAATTAAAAAATAATGGTAAATTAAATAAATAATTCTTCTTAAAAAAAAAAGAAAGAACTTTTAGAATGTAAAAGTGGATAGCTAGAAAAAAACTGCCCCTTTACCGTATTTCTACTATGGCTTCTCTCCCCCTCTGTCCCAGCAATTGCGGGCATCTCTGCCTAATATTTCCATTTGCTGTTCCCTCTGTCTATCATGCTCTTCTTTCCCTGAATATCCCCATGGCTTACTCATCTCTTTTAGCTCAAATATATTTTCTCAATGGAATTTTCCTTAACTCTCCAATTTACATTTTCCAAAAACAAAATCTCCATATCCTTCCACACCTCCTGTGATTTGTTTTCCTCAGAGTATTTTAAAAAAATAACCAGTAAGTGGATTTTTTTTGAAGGTTTTTGCCAAAGGGGTGTGTGTGTTTACCAGAGAGATACAGAGATGGTGAGAGGTCACCCTCCAGTAGGGATGACCTTGCCACAATCCCTCCTCCTTCTGGGATTTTGGGCAAGCATACATATATGCCCAGCATGATTTTCAAACTGCCAGGTCTGGGACTCAAACTGTGGTGGGCTGTGTCGGATCCAGCACCATAACCAGCACACCATCTGCTGGCCCCTGTTCACAGCACTTTTTTTTTTTAATGAGAGAGAGATTTTTGCTATATGGCACATGCCCTTTCCCGAGAAATAGATGGAGACAGAGAGACAAAAAGCTAGAGATCACCCCCCCAGGAGTGATGGCCACACCGCAGTCCCTTCTCCTGGGATTCTGGGCACACCCGCACACGCATCCAGCCTGAGTTTCCAACCGCTGGGTCCAGGACTCGAACTGCGGTTGACTATGTGGGAGTCCAGCAACGTAACCATTATGCCATCTTCTGGTCTCCACAGCACTTTTTATGACTGACAAGTCATGTACTTTATGTATTATCTGCCTACCCCGATTAGAGCTACATGGGCAAGATTTTTGTTTACTACTCAGTACCCAAAACAGTGCCCGGCTAAGTAGGCTTCGTGTGACGTCTGAATGGATAAAGGAAAGAAAGAGAATATGAAGAAATCTCTCAGAAAGTGAAACAAACAGACAAAGCAATGGAAAATAAGAGAAAACATAAGAAACATATGAGATTATTTCAGGAGGTAACAAGTCATTATTCCCAGAAAAAGAGAATTGACTAAATAGATGAAATTATAAGAAAAATGATCCAAAAACAAACTCACAAAAAAACCCATTTCAGACTAGAAGGATATGAATTTCCAGATTGAAAGCCCTCATGGTAGTACCCAGTACAGTTATTGAAAAGGAAAGAAAATGAAACTCACACCAGTCCACAATTCAGTGACAGTTCAAATTGCCCGAGAGAAAAATAAATGAGAGAGGAAGAAACAGGTCTGTCATGCATGAGATTGTTTTCGGAATGGGTTTAGATTTCTAACTAACATTGAAAACTAGAATCCTGTGCTCATCCAAAGAAAGTGATGAGTGCAAAATAAAGACATTTTTAGACATTCAGTCTCAAAAATATTACCTCCTGTTGTATCCTTGTCAGAAATCCCTGTCAAAACCCAGACGGTAAGCCAAGGGGAAAAAGAATAGGATCTTAACCCAGGGACCCCACAGAAGCCCTTGCTCCCACTCCCCACAGCTGCCAGTCCGCATTTTAGTACCTTACTCTTTATATGAACAAAGAGCCAAATATTCTGGGAAAGCCTGCACTCTAAAAAAACAAAGGCTAGTCTCAGGAGGGTAGAGCGGGGCACGCCTTATAGTAGCAGCTAGTTCAGAGGCTGGGGCAGGGGATCACGAGTGTGAGGCCAGTTTGGGCAGCATCGTGAGACCCTGTCTCCAAAAAATAATCAATTCTAGGGAACCAGCAGTTAGCGTAATGGCTATGTCACTGGATTCCCACGTAGTCGACCACGGTTCGCGTCCTGGACCCGGTGGCTTAAAAAACTCACGCCGGGCGCGTGTGCGTGCGTGCCCAAGATCCCGAGAGGAGAATGGAGGAGAGGGGATTGCAGCGTGACCATCCCCCCTGGGGGGTGATTTCTCGCTTTCTGTCTCTATGTCTCTCTCTGTCTGTCTGGCGAGCGCACGTGCCCTGCAGTGAAAATCTCTAAAAAAAAAAAAAAAAACTTAAAAAAAAATAATCAATTCTAGGCAAAGAGAGGAGCAGGTAGTAGCAGTAAGAGTAGGAGACTCCAAGAGGAGTATTTATTTCAACACACGTTTCAAAATGAAACACATAAGAATATCTGATAACTGACTGAACAGAGATTTTTTTAGCTCTGGAGAACTGGGGGTTGAATTAAACCACATAGGAAATCTGAAACATAAAATATAAGAAATGTAAATTAGTCTAGCCGCAGTGGTGCAAATGATAAAGTGCTACTGCGTGAGGTACTTTAGGAAAAAAAAAGTCTGAAAAAACTGTATACGTTTATGCAAACCTTAAAACACAAAACAATAATACATTTTACATGAAATCATGTATTGAAAATATCAAAAAAAAAAAAAAAAACTTAAAAAAAAATAATCAATTCTAGGCAAAGAGAGGAGCAGGTAGTAGCAGTAAGAGTAGGAGACTCCAAGAGGAGTATTTATTTCAACACACGTTTCAAAATGAAACACATAAGAATATCTGATAACTGACTGAACAGAGATTTTTTTAGCTCTGGAGAACTGGGGGTTGAATTAAACCACATAGGAAATCTGAAACATAAAATATAAGAAATGTAAATTAGTCTAGCCGCAGTGGTGCAAATGATAAAGTGCTACTGCGTGAGGTACTTTAGGAAAAAAAAAGTCTGAAAAAACTGTATACGTTTATGCAAACCTTAAAACACAAAACAATAATACATTTTACATGAAATCATACATATGTAGTGAAAGTATGAAAACATGCCTGGAAAGGATTATGTCAACCTCAGAAAGAATAGTAGTTATTTCTGGAAAAAAAAAAAAAAAGAAGGACAGAGGTGGAAGGATAGCAGGCATTAGCTATATTTCTAATAATTTATTCTAAAGGGAAACCCTAAAGCAAATAATATTAATATTTTCAAACAGTGAATGGTGACTATATGAGTGCATGCTATGTAATTTTCTGTAATTTTTTTGAATTTTCGAAGTACTTAATTTTTTTTTTTTTTTTTGTAGAGGTTTTCGCTATAGGGCGCGTGCGCTTGCCAGACAGACAGAGACAGACATAGAGACAGAAAGCGAGAAGTCACCCCCCATGGGGGATGGTCATGCCGCAATCCCTTCTCCTCCATTCTCCTCTAGGGATCTTGGGCACACACGCACACGCAACCGGCGTGAGATTTAAGCCACCGGGTCCGAGACACGAACCACGGTCGACTACGTGGGAGTCCAGTGACATAGCCATTACGCTAATTGCTGGTCCCGAAATACTTCATATTTTAAAATGAAAAAATGAATTGCTTTAGTTAATAATGTCATATTTGGTTTTTGGTGAACTAATTAGTATGACAGATGGGGAACTTGTATTGTTTTACTGTGATGCCGCTGTAAGATGACAGATGGGGGCCAGCAGGTGGCTTGGAGATTAAGGGGGCTAGATCACATATGGCCAACTGAGCAGTTCAAGTCCTGGACCTGGCAGCTTGAAAAACATGCCCAAGTGCGTGTGTGTGTATGCCCCAAATCCTGAGAGAATACAGAAGGGATTGCAGTGTGCCCAACCTCCCCAGAGGGTGCTTTCTCACTTTCCTCCCTCTCTTTCTTTTTCCCTGTCCTCTGTCTGTCTCGGGTGAGCACCCCTGCCTATAGCAAACTGAAATAAAAAGGGGATAGATTGAATTTTTCAACATCACCACACAAAAGCACTCCAAATTATTTAGCAGTTGCTGTGTTATCAATCAGCACACCACAGCATGAATGTGGAAAGGTAATGAGTTCATATAAGCTCTCAAAAGCAAAAATCTTCTTCATTCTCTCTTCATTGTCAGATGATCAAAAAAGAAAAATGAAGAAAATAATAATTAAAAAAAATAATTTATCGGGGACCAGCAGATGACATAATGGTTATGTCGCTGGACAACCATGTAGTCGACCATGGTTCGAGTCCCTGACCCAGTGGCTTAAAACTCACGCTGGGCACATGTATGTGTGTGTGCCCAAAATCTCAAGAGGAGAGTGGACTGTGGTGTGGCCATTGCCCCAGGGGGATGATTTCTTTGATTTCTATCTGTCTTTCTCTGTCTCTCTGGCATGCACACACGTCCTATGGCAAGAATCTCTCTAAAAAATAATAATAAATGAAATAATTTCACCAGTTTGTCAAAAACCTGTGATATGGGCTTTTAAAAAGGACTGTAGGCCCAGCTGTGGTAGCAGGCAGTAGGGTGCCACTGTGCTGTACTAGAACCGTATCGGGAGGGCTGGGATACAGACCCTGGGTGGCCCTGCTCATGCCATTCATGCCCGAGAGCCTGCCCGGCTGCAAGGCTGTGAGGAAGATCGTCATGTGGCGAGCCTCCTGTCAGGGGTCCGTGTTTCTCTCTCTCTCTCTCTCTACCTACTCCCTTTCTCTCTCTCTCCCTGAAAGAAATAAACTTTAGAAGAAAAAAGTGTATGTATTTCCCTGCTGTATGTTTTTCTCACTGTTGAAACACTGACTTCTCTAGTTAATATTCAGATCCTCTTGCTACCACTATTTGTGCATGATTTGGAGCACATTGCTTAGCCTTTGTGACACTATTTTATCATCCATAAAATGAGTAGCAGTAACATTAAGTGTGAAAGCGTGTAGGTTCTAAAATGTTGTTTGAATCTGAAATTAGGGGAATTTGTGTCTTCATAAACTTGCCGTTATGGAAATGAACCCTTTTTGGATGCATGATTTTTCATGTTTCTTTATTACAGAAAAATCAACAACTGATGATGATGTGCAGAAATCAGACATATCATCAAGTAGTCAAGGAGTAATAGAAAAGGAATCCTTGGGCCCTCTTCTTTTGGAGGTAAGTGTCCTCATTGATCAGAAAGTGATTGAAGTCTTTGTTGTAGCCACGTAGGTTTCTCTCTGTCCTGAACATGAGAACTTTTTCTAAAGTTTAGTCAGAGGCTAACCAAAGCCTATTGTATGACTGTGCCTTTTATTTCGGAGTTAGTTAGAACTAGTTGGAAAAAGAAACCAGTAGAATTATTTAGCAAGCATAAATAAATATGCTGGAGAATTTCATTTTGAGTGATGGATGCCTCACTATATTGCAAGAGGTGTTTTCTTGAAGTTTTAAAAATCATTTATATAGGGACCAGCAGTTAGCATAATGGCTATGTTGCTGGACTCCCATGTAGTCAACTGCAGTTAAAGTCCCGGACCCGGTGACTTAAACTCAACTCATGCCGGGCGCGTGTGCATACGTGCCCAAGATCCCGAGAGGAGAATGGAGGAGAAGGGACTGCGGCGTGGCCATCCCTCCTGAGGGGTGATTTCTCGCTTTCCGTCTCTCTGTCTGTCTGGTGTGCACACATGCCCTATAGCAAAAACCTATCCAAAAAAAAAAAAATCATTTATATAATCATTCTAAGAAAATTACTATTTTAACTATCAAACTTTGTAATGTGGAAGATTTTAAAACTTGAATTACTATGTAATACCTGGGTCATTTTCATCCTTGACTTTCCTACCTAATCTTCACTGCCTGTATTCTCAACACAGATTTTTTTTTCCCCCCTATTTTACCATCTTTTAATTGGGTTAATCATTTTTTTTTCAGGTAAACTAAGACATGTGTGTATTCTTGTTATGAGTTATCATCTGAAGCATAGTTTATAAAAATACTCTCCCATTCCAAGGGTGGATGATTTACACTAACTACTATGGTTTTGCTGTGCAGAAACTTCTTAGTTTGATATAATGCCACTTGTCTTTTTTTTTTCTTTTTTTCCCCCACATTTTGTTGAATTACTAAAGATCTTGATTAATCTAAATATTTTCATAGCAAACACAGCTGATATATACATTTCCATGAACACAAGTCTAACTTTAGGCATCCTATAAAGTAGCACCTAGCTGGGGCTATATATCTTTACTGCGGTCATCAAATAGTTGGTAACTCAATTTACATTCCTTCCCTAAGCATAATCACAGCACACAAAATGCGATCTCCCATCCAGTACACGCTGCATAGTGACTCAATCATGCAATTACAAAAAGTTTTCCATTTCTAGTTCCTAGAAATATTTCCACCCCTCTTTCTGACCCTCTGTCCCTTCCCACCCTCCTCTCACACCACCTCCAGTGTCCACAATTG